CCTGGATGAACTTGATGGGCCCTGTGTGCGCGTCAGAGGACGAAGAGAGAGGGGAGTGGGAGAAGAGGAGGGTGGGAGTCGTGTCAGGATGAGGAGGAGGAGGAGGATGAGGATGAGGAGGAGGAGGAGGAGGAGGAGGAAGAGGAAGAGGAGGAGGAGAAGGGGAGGCAAGATTGGGGAGAGAGGGGTGGAAGAAAGATGTGCGAGGGGATGAGGGAAAGAAGGTCGTGCCTGAAGCAGCAGCAGAGTTCAATATCATGGTTCCCAGTCTCGTCTCGGCGATCCCTCCTGCAGGTAAGTGAGGAGAGGGAGGGAGGGGAAAGAGTGCGGAGAGGAAAGCGAAGGTGACCGGAGCGATGATGGGAAGGCAGAGGAGGCAAGGACGGGGAAGTGGGTGCGAGCAACAAGGAGAGGAGGCGAGCGAGGGGGGAGAGAAAGAGGAGATGTGTGAGACAGGGAGGGAGGGAGAGGAAGGGAGGGAGGAGAGGGAGGAAGGAGGAGGAGGAGTAGAGAGACCGGGGTTAACGTGAGTGAGGACAGTGATGTTCGTCCTGCTGTGGTCCAACGACCCGTCCGCCTCTCTCGCTGGCCGCAGCACGTTGCCACCGATCATAATCTCCATCCTTAGAAACCTGCGACAAGCTTATCAGACCCTCCGTCCTCTCCCGCTGCTGCTGCTGCTGCTGCTGCTGCTGCTGCTGCTGCTGCTGCTGCTGCTGCTGCTGCTGCTGCTGCTGCTGCTGCTGCTGCTGCTGCTGCTGCTGCTGCTGCTGCTGCTGCTGCTGCTGCTGCTGCTGCTGCTGCTGCTGCTGCTGGCTGCTGCTGCTGCTGCTGCTGCTGCTGCTGCTGCTGCTGCTGCTGCTGCTGCTGCTTCTGAACCTGATCCTTCTTCTCCTCGCCCTCGCCCTCTTCCTCTTTCCTCACTCTCTGCGTTTTCTCTGAGCTGAGAGCAGGAGGAGGAGTTTGAGATCGGCACGATGCTCTGCAAGGATCAGGTGGGGAGGGGAGAGGGCTGCTGCTGGGGTCCTGAGGTGACCGCAGACGGGACGCTACATCCTCGAGAACTCTTTGAGCCCACGAGCAGACGATCGACTGAGCATGAAAGAACTCCGCCTCCTCCTCCTCTCCATGATTGACTCTCTTCTTCCTTGATCGCAGCAAACTCCTTCCACTTTCCATCTCCCCCCCCCCCCCCCCCCCCCACAAGGGTTAGCAACTAAAGCAGGAGCGGGATCAGGACGTCATTCTCGAATCCCGTCAAGAGGTAGGCCGCACCTCTCACGGATGTGGGGGGGGGGGGAAGCTCTAGCACTGGGGAAGGAGCGGGGTCTCCTTCCCTTCCTTGGCTTTCTG